TTAAATAACAGGACTAACATGTTTCTGTATATCCATTTCCTCCCATTCTGCCTCATACCACCGATTAGATTTCCGTAGTATATTTTGCTCCAGGGATCAGATTATACATTATTTGAGATCATGTTTATTAAGTATTTCCAAATTGTACAGTTCTGTTTATCCCAAAACATTGTTTTTTCTTACAGTACATTGCTTAGTTAAAGAAAAGTAGATGAGGTGGGGCCACTGAGAAAAAAAATCAAGGAATTTTGCTCTCTGGTCCATTGACACTCAAACTTGGGTACAGGAGTAAGCAGTGTCAGCATTATCTAAGAATAAAATGTGAATTATCAGGTTCACTTAGAATCTTGTAATCTCTCGAAGAGGAGGACCTGCAACCCCCTTCTGAGGGGTTTTAGCAGCCCCTCTAGGGATGAAATTAAAGTTTTCAGACCACAGATCTGGACTATCCTTACCCCCAAGCTACAGACACACCCAACTTGGCTAAATACTTGTGGAAACAAAGGTTTTGGTAATACAAGTAATGAGCCGATTACCCTCTCAGGGTTAAACAATTAATTTCCACATGTAAATTCAGTGTTAACTTTCATCTTGAAATGTTAATTGGCCATGATCTATTTTTGGTAACTTGTTTGTCATTTTCTAAGCCCTCAAATGTCAGGATATGAATATATTCCTAATTGCTAAATGCATGCTACTGGAAGATTGCAGCCTGTCTGAATGTGCTTTTACATTTGCCTATCTGAATACTCTGTGTACTGCCCTTTGCAAGTATTTGCTTAGCTTCATTCAGCATCCAGGAAGTGTTTCCATGAGACCTTTGCTGAATCAAAATCAGGTTCAGATCACTCCAGCTCACACTGTGATGACATGGTCTGGCATGACCACCTCTGGGCTTGTCACCTGGGTCTTTAAAATTCTGCATATTAAATTTCTTTCCCCCTGTGAGAGTTAAACTAATGCTTTGGGTTCTGTGATCTAGACAACAACTCCTTCTGTTGCTAATTAGATGAATAGTATAGAAAGCAAAATGATTGGGCCCCAGGGGAAGAAGGATTTTCCCCAGTGAACCCCACTGAAGGACTTCTCAGTTATAGAACTGTTGTTTTAGATGTGCTTTAAAAATGTCTTCTTTCTTCTTTTTTTTAGCATCATGATCATCACCATTAAAAAAAAAANAAAAAAAAAATTCACCATTTACAAAACATTTGGCCACCCAGAACATCATTACTTAATTGGCTGTCCAAAGTGAATTGGATTGCCAGCATTCTCTACTTTTCCATATATTACTCTTAGTTCAAGGGAAAACACCAAATCCCTGTATTTTATATAATTAACAACAAATCCTCGAGTCATTTGACCTGCTACAATAACAAACCAAACTGCTTAAAAACGCCCTTCCAGAGAAAAGCCATCAGCAAGCCCAAGAACTGGTACAACCTCACCTCACTTCCCTGACCTTTTCTGCCATTGTGACTCAGGCCCTGTGCTACTTCCACCAACTTTATCCCAGCCAGTCCTCTGAGTGCCCTTTTTGCTCTTATTTAACTTTACAAATCCAGTGTTGCTGCTCAAACCTGTATTGCTTCAAGTTCTTTCCCAACTAAGGGGTAGCAGTTCATTGGGGATGGAAAAACAAGTCTCAGAGCAATTATGAAAGTATAACGCAGTTTGCATTAGCACATGCAATTAAACAGAGGAAAGATGTGTGAGAAGGTGCAGAAAGAAATCCTC